TCCGGGTACGCTTCAAGGTTCTGGTTACCACCTTTAAAGCGCTCCATGGCTTAGGACCTGGTTACTTACGGGACCGCCTACTACCATCAATAGCCTCCCACCGACCAGTACGCTCCCACAGAGAGGGGCTCCTCCAGGTACCGTCGGCCAAACAATGTCGGCTGTCGGCCCCTAGGGGGAGAACCTTCTCTGTGGGGGCACCGACGATCTGGAATGAGCTCCCCCCAGAGATACGGAGGATTCCGGACCTGCGCACCTTGCGCCGCGAGCTGAAGACGCTGTTATTTCATCAAGCTGGCCTCGCCTAAATCTTCTCCCTTTTAAGTGTAAATTTCAAATTTTTACTGTATTTTAAAATATGGGTATTTTAAATTATGGGTATTAATTCAGCCAAATTTATTTAATTCATTTTATTCAATTTTAAATTTTGTATATCTATGTGTTTTATTTCATCGCTGTGCACCGCCCTGAGTCCTTCGGGAGTAGGGCGGTATAGAAATTTAATAAAATAAAATAAATAAATAAAATAAGGTCTGGGCTATTCCCAGGCCATTCCAGCAGTGGAATAGGATTATCTTGAAACTCCCCCCCAAAAAAGTGGTGTTATTGGCCATCAAACTTCAAAAATACACTTTTCCCAAAAGGTTTCCACAATTTGGGCCACTACCGTAGATGCTCTTCCTTGCACTTTTTCCCAAAGGCTCAACATTTTTTTCCCCCCCGTAATGTGGTAACCAAAACTGGATGCAGTTTTAGCCTCTAACCGTCTAGTCACTTTTGTGGCTTCTTCTCTGAAGACATTGGGTGAAGACGGCACCCCCAAATTTAATTATTTTAAATCTATTTTTAATCGTACTTTATTTATAAATGTTTTATTTTGGCTGTTCACCGCCCTGAGTCCGAAAGGAGAAGGGCGGTATAGAAATTTGAATAATAAATAAATAATAAATAATAAATAAATAAAAGGATTAATGAATGACTCCATCTAACTGGAAGCACTGAATGAGTGGCCACTGGGTCTTGTGTTTGTCCAATGCATCAAGGCCTACTCAGACGTGGGAGTTGTGGACCCCTTTATCTAGTTTATTATCGATTAAGAACATTTATATGGCCGGACAACTCCCTCACGGTGATTCCCAGAGACTTACAGAAATAAAATTCCAAAAAACCGAAACACAATAATCTCCCGTCCCCACTGATGACGATAAACAAATCAACCACTTGATGGGCTCCATAACACCATGGGGTCCCCAGGCCAGCTGGCAAACGTATGTCTTCAGGGCCTTTCAGAAGAGTGCCAAGGTGGGGCTCCATCTTATCTCTGCAGGGTTGATGTCCTACAGGAAAGGAGCTGCCATGCAGAAGGCCCTTCTTCTTGGTCCCACCAGGTGGACCTTATTAAGATAGGAGACCCATAACATCTAATTTTTAATCTTTGCAGGGATGATGTTCCACAGGGAGGGAGCCAGCCACCATGGAGAAGGTCCTTCTTTTTGGTCCCACCAGGTGGACCTCCTTAAGATAGGAGACCTATAACATCAAATTTCCAATCTTCTCTCTGCAGGGATGATGTTCCACTGGGAAGGAGCCACCATGGAGAAGGCCCTTCTCCTTGGTCCCACCAGGTGGACCACCTTAAGAGAGGGGACCCATAACCTCTAATTTCCAATCTCTGCAGGGATGATGTTCCACAGGGAGGGAGCCAACCACCATGGAAAAGGTCCTTCTTCTTAGTCCCACCGGGTGGACCTCCTTAAGATAGGAGACCCATAACATCTAGTTTCCAATCTTACCTCTGTAGAGATGATGTTCCACAGAGAAGAAGCCCCATGGAGAAGGCTCTTTTTCTTGGTCCCACCGGGTAGACCTCCTTAAGATAAGATACCTATAACATCTAATTTCCAATCTCATCTCTGAGAGATGATGTTCCACAGAGCGAGAGCCACCGTGGAGAAGGCCCTTCTTGCTTCTATCAGGGAGATCTCAAGAGAGGGCACCCAGAACATCCCCTGCCTCCCCGCCCTGGTGGGTTGGGTAAACGTAACTGAGAAAAAAGGTTCCTTCAAATCACTTGGTCTCAAGCCATGAAGGACTTTGAAGGGAACAACCAGAACCTTGAATTGGACCCAGAAGGAAATCAAGCAACCAATGCAGCTCCCACAAGACAGCGGACACAAAATTTGATTTGCACAAAACCACAGAGCCTGCCGCATTTTGAAGCAAGTGAAGCTTCCGGATACTTCAAGGCAGGGATGAAATCCAGCAAGTTCTGACAGGTTCTGGCGAACCGGTAGAGGAAATTTTGAGTTCAGAGAACCGGCAAATGCCACTTCTGGCTGGGCCCAGAGGGGGGTGGGAATGGAGATTTTGCAGTATCCTTCCCCTGGAGTGGGGTGGGAATGGAGATTTTGCAGTATCCTTCCCCTGCCATGCCCACCAAGCCACACCACGCCAAGCCACGTCCACAGAACCAGTAGTAAAAAAAATTTGGATTTCTCCACTGCTTCAAGGGCAGCCCCATGCAGAGGGCATTGCAGTAGTCAAATCTGCAGATGTCCCGAAGCTAGAAGGGAGAGCAAATAGTTTAGAGGAGAATTTTGTTGTGGCGGCGAGCCACCCAAAGTTGTGTTTAAGATGGGCGGCCCTACCAATCCTTTGAATGAATAAAATACGGTATTCATGGATATTTTTATCCTGTGTTCGATTAGACATAGGACAGTGATGGCTAACCTTTTTGCCATCGTGTGCCAGGAAGGGGGAGGAGCAGGGAAGGTTTGTGCATGCACGTGCCCACATTCATAATTCTATGCGCCCCATGCATGTGTACGCGACCCCCTCCCCCCCCGCTCCTGGCACGCGATAGCCCAGTAGGCCTGTTTTTCTTTCTCACCTGGCTCCAAATCCTCTCTATGCATCTAGGGAGTTGGAAAACGGGCTGTTTTGGGCCTCCGGAGGGCCTCCGAGGGAGTGGGGAAGGCTGTTTTCACCCTCCCCAGATGCATAGAGAGGATCTGGAGTGAGAAAGAAAAACGGGCCTTCCGCATCCCTCCCCCAGGCCCTCCGGAGGCAGGAAACAGCCTGTTTCCCTACTTCTGGTGGACCCAGAAGACCCGAAAATCAGTTGGCCGGTGCGCACATGCGTGCTGGAGCTGAGCTGGCGTGCCAGGCAACATGGTTCCATGTGCCACCTGTGCCATAGGTTCGCCATCACGGACATAGGGGCATGAGAAATAAATTTAATATTGCAAGCATTCGTGGTCCTTATCATGGGATGCTGACGGTGGACAATCAGAATGAAGTCTCAAGTTGGAGAAAACCTGGGAATATTTTGTTCAAAGCTGGTGCTAGGTCAAAATTGCCCCCTTCACACATTCTCCGTTACTCAGGTTTTGCCTCTGAAATCTGTTCTTGCACGTAGAAACTGCCTCTGAATGAAAGGAAAAACTGTTGTCCATGGAGATTCTCAGTCATCCAAGTCATGGTTGTCCCAAAGGTGCTCTTTCTCAAGAGGCAACTGGACTTCGTTTTTCCTTGAAGACGTTTCGCTTCTCAGCCAAGAAGCTTCTTCAGTTCTGACTGAATGAATGGTGGCGAATGGAAAGATTTATATTCCTTGCAGGGATCTGGTCGTTAGCACTCTCTCTGAGAATCCTTGATGCCCCAAGATAAGATTAACCTCCAAGTGGCCTCAACGACTCTCAGAAAGGATGCAAATGACCAGCTGTCTGCAACGAATATAAGTCTTTCCATTCTTCACCATTCAATCAGAACCGAAAAAGCTTCTTGGATGAGAAGTGAAACGTCTTCAAGGGGGAAAAACAAAGGAAGTCCAGTTGCCTCTTGAAAAAGCACCTCTTTTTTTTTTGGACTTGGAGTGTCTGGAAAATATAACCCAATATATCTCATATTATGATTAAAAGTCTGTAGAGATTTTCAGTCATCCAGGTCACAGTTGTCCCAAAGGTGCTTTTTCAAGAGGCAACTGGACTTTATGGTTTTTTTCTTTTGAAGATGTTTTGCTTCTCATCCAAGAAGCTTCTTCAGCTCTGACTGAATGGTGGGGGATGGAGGGATTTATAATCCTTGCAGACAGCTGGTCATTTGCATCCTTTTCAAACTTTTAGCTATGCAATTTGGGATGGACACCCTTTGAATCAGTGGTGAAATGTAAAATTTGTTACTACTGGTTCTCTGGGTGTGGCTTGGTGGGGGGCGTGTAATGTGACTGGGTGGGCGTGGCCAACTTTTTTTTTTTTTACTTTTAAAACCATTTTTTCTACAACCTCTTCGGCCGAAGAGGTGGTAGAAAAAATGCTATAAAAAGCCTCTGACGATCCCAGCTGAGCCGCGCGATCATCAAAGGCTTTTTTTTTTACTTTTAAAAGCATTTTTTCAGCTGAAGAGGTTGTATAAAAAATGCTTTTAACAATTAAAAAAAAAGCCTCTGATGATTGTGCAGCTCAGCTGGGCATGGGGTGGGGGGCAGGGATTTTTGCTACCGGTTCTCAGAACCACCCGTCTCCATCGCTACCGGATCGGGCAATCTGGTCCAAACCGGGAGCATTTCACCCCTGCTTTGAATGGTGTGGGAGAAAGAATAGATTTCCAGGGGAAAAATTGCAGACTGCAAGAACCAGGAACACCACTCAGGTGACCCTGAGGGCACAGATAAACCTCCAAGTTGCCTCCACGACCCTCTAGAAGGATGCAAATGAACAGCTGTCTGCAAGGAGTATCAATCCTTCCGTTCCCCACCATCCAGCCAGAACTGAAGAAGCTTCTTTGATGAGAAGTGAAATGTCTTCAAGGAAAAACAAAGGAAGTTCAGTTGCCTCTTGAAAAAGCACTTTTGAGATTTGGAATGTTTAGAAAATTTGGCCCAATATATGTCATTATAATATTATTATTGCGGTTCATCGCACCGTCATCCAGAGGTTCAACCCAAATTTGACATTTTTTGCCGGCAATACAAAAACAAGTAAATGAAGACACAGCCAAGATCCGAGAGAAAGGAAATCTATTAGTGCAAAAAAATTAACAGTTCTCTAGTACAGTACAATATATGGAAAAAAAAAAGGAACATACAATTGATTCGATTTTAGTCAACAACCAATTCTGAGCAAGAAGAGAAAATCGCCGCAATTTTACTTTCATTTTTATTTTTAAATTTCTGCACGAAGTCTATCTTTTGCATTTTCTTTCTTTCTTTCTTTTTTTTTAGAAAACAAACACAAAATAGCCAGGGTGAGAAAATAAACCTTCTCTCACCCCCGAATGTGAAGTTAGTGTTGGGTACCACAGCCTGGGTGTCCATAAAAATAATCTGAATTTTTTTCTTTTTTCTTTTTTTTTAATATCTCTCTATATATGAAACAGTTCCGAAAACTTCCCAACAAACCTCAGGCATTTCCTGAATTCACTATTCTCAAAAATTTAAAACGATGGTGGGCGAACCTTCAGCGAGAAAGTTCCGTTGCTGATTTAGGAAGGAAGGAAGAAGGAAAAAAAGAGAAGAAAAAAGAATCCGTGAAAAGACGCAGTTCATTTCCCCCATTCAGGAGGGAAGGAAGATTTAAGAGAAAGGAAGAAAAATTGTCTGGCCCAGATCTGAGCGCATCGAATTCATTGCTACTTTGGGAAAAGACAACGAGGAAAGATAAAGAAAGAAAGTAAGTAAGAAAGAAAGAAAAAAACTTGGCGAAGAAAGGATTTTAGGAAAGAGAGATCCCGAAGAATTCACGCAGAATTAATTTAGAAAAGCAAGACCAGAAAAATGAACAGCTGGATAGAAGGTCTATTTTCTCTGGAACTATTTTTTGCTTCGGCCAGAGATTTTTTTAAAAAAATTTTTTTCAGCATTTCTCAACAAACAGTTCACCTCCCTATCCCAACATTTGCCAAAACAATAAAAGAAAAGTTAAAAAAAAAAAAAGAAGCAGCAGCGCAGGATATTTGCTATATATAACGGACAAGGTGCTGGATACTAGAGACAGAGCTAAGGCGTCATTTACACTCCAAAGCATTGGTGCTGGAGAACTCTCTCCGAGAACATTTGGATGGCGTGTCTACACCGCTACACCGGTTTCGAGAAAGTCACGCAGTCACACACACACACACACACACATACACACGAAAACCCCTGAGACTAATCGATCTGCGGAAAGAAGAATCTGCATCCAAAACTGCACTTCCTGGGAAATTTTGCCGAGACCCTAGACAGCTAAGCCAAATTTAACCTAGGTTACGCTTGGAGGAGAGAGATGGGCTCTCGGTCTTGTCGGGCATTTGGCCCAACGTGGAACTACAATTTCCATGAATCCTTGAGAGGAGCCAACAATAAAGCCAGGAGGGGCCAAGCTCTACATGCAAATTAATTTTCCAAATATTGAGCAAAATTCCAAAATTCATTTTCCAAATATCGAGCAAACAGTGCTTTGAACGGGGTGTGTGTGTGTGAGAAAAAAGCCCATTTTGAATTTGCGGTCGTTGCTCAATTTTAATCGTTTGTTGGCTTGAGATTTCTCATTTATGACTGGCGTTTAATTCTGGTCTCTTCGAAGATTCCAAAATCAAAGCTTTGGAGAAATGGGGCAATTAATTTGTAAATCAGCCAGAATATCTCTGTACCGATGCCATTCATCTCCAGAACTACGGAGAGGTTCTTCAAAGCTTCGTCTTGGCTTTTATGACTGTTGTATACTCACAACTGTTGTTGCGATGAGACCCGTGCCTGTCTTCCTCGCTCAAGGATTCATTTTGGCCGAATACCTGAAACTAGGAGGCTCACCAACTCAAGATGTCACTGATTCCAAATCAGGAGAAAAGAAACTCGTCAGTTAGCACCACCGTGAAGATAGTCCAACTCTGATTCCCGAGTAACCTGTCTGGTAAGGGCAAGGTTGGAGTAGATACGAGGCACCATGGAAATTGGGTGAACATGGCTTCCTTCTTCCTTTGTCGCTCAAAGGAGCGTATCTGGAAGAACCTAATGGCTTGGTTAGATTTTGGAAAGGATCTTTCCAAGTTAAGAAAGGGTGGATCTTTTGTCCCAAGGTTGAGAAAACCGGTAGTAAAAACTGGTCAATAGCTTCAGGTCAATTTATGATCCCTTTCCTTTCCTGAGCAATCAAACACACAACTGAGAAAACTCTTGGTGGCCTCATATGAGGCCCAACCTAAGGGGACAATCCTATGAGCCATCTCTGTCTTTCCTGATATTCTACTACACTTTTAATGTCCTTCAAATCCACTTGGTCCAAAGTTGGCCACTGCTCGATGATCTGGAGGTCATCTCTATCCCTTACGGTCAAAAGTTAACACAACAAATCTCACACTTGAGGGGATGACAACATCTCACATGATTGAAAGAGGGACACGTCTCGAGTTGAAGGACATCAACCCTCCCATCCTGCAACATCAAAATCCTGCACCTATCGGGGAAGGAACTGGTGAGGGAAGGCTTTACGGACTGCAGAAGAGGAAGAAAATGGAAGCCACTCCCCTACCCCACCCATGGAAGACTAGCTGATGCACATGGGTTGTGTGGTTATGATTATCAAGCTTCTGCACTGCCTTCCTGGATCCTGAAGGCCAACCCTGTTGGCCATCTGGACTTTGAACGGATCCCGAAAGAGAACCTCACAGACAAATGTTAAGTCTAAAGCTTTCGTGGGATGGGTTGTGATAGACCTTGTGGGAAATAATTGACAACACTAAACAGGGAACACAAAGTTAAGGCCATGGTGTGCTAAATTTCACTGAGTTCGGGGGGAAAAGGTGGTCTTTAAGCTCTTTCTGGATTTCCACATATTTAAAAGCCAGTTCAAAGCGAGCCGGGCACCCCAAATCACATATTTCGAGAATTTTGTCTCGAAATCTACACAAACCCCCCCATTTCGGGCTGATCTCAGAACCAAACTCGGTGCTTCCTAACAGCAGATGTGTGTCTCGCTGTAGATCACAAGGACAAACAGGTTCATCGGAGACTCGTGTTTTCTCCCCCGACAATCTTGACCACTTGAAGATGGGCGGACTTCAACACCCAGGATTCCTGCCGGCTGAGGAATTCTGGGAGTCGAAGTCCGACCATTTTTAAAGGGGGCCGGGGTTAAAAAAAAAAAAAAACCCTCCACCAGTTTGGAGCCTTTCAACTTCAAAAACCACCTGGATAAGTCCCGAGGGAGTTTTGTCTAATTTGGGGAGCTCGACAAAACGTTTTGAGTTGGGCTATTTTATTCCAAGCTGAAAACATGTTTCCATCCCCCCCCCACCATCATTTTGTCTCATCTCATCTCGTGGGGCCGCTTCAAATATTTTAATCTCATCCTGTGAGTTTCTATCCTAACTCAAGAGTTTTCCTCCAGTTCTAGTTTTCACAAAGCTGAGAGGCTCTACAAATGAAAATTCGTGATGTTGGGTTCAAACGAGGTTTTTTATTAAATTCCCTCCCCTTAAAACTCTCCCCAAAATATATAAGCCAACCAATGGCGTTATCTGTCACCGGACAATTTTTTTCCCCACAAACTGCCCACCTGTACCCAATATATTCTCCCCCCCTTTTTTTTTAAAAAAAGAATGCTGTAGGACATTTTTTTCAATGGCCTTAACTATTCAAAAGGCACCTATGGATGCAACAACCCTGTCTGATTGTTATTGGTGGCTTTTTTGAAATTTTTGAATTAAAAAGAAAAGAAAGATTCGGAGAAGCGGCCGTTTGGGGGAGCGGGGTGCAGATGGGAACCTGCAGGTCTAAATTCAGGGGCATTTTTAAAAATCTGCAGCCGTCCCTAAACAGTCATTGGAGTCCCCCGCTGAATGGCGTTTGTGAATCTGCAATCACGGCAAACAATATACCTACCGTGGACCCATCTATTTGGATGCGTGGGGAGGGGGGGTTTATAATATCCGGGGGCAACAAAAAAAACAAAAACCCTTTGCCTGGTTATGATCGGAAAGCTAATTTATAAACCAAGGTTCCAAGCCTTTATAAACCAAGGTTCCTGGTTAGTTTACAGCAGGGGTGTCAAACTCAAGGCCCGGGGGGCCGGATCCTGGCCTGCTTAGGGGTGCTTAAATCTGGCCTGCGGAGCCATCCTGCAAACAGTGAAGGACTGGCCCGCGGTGCCTCTGCCAGAGAAAATGGAGCTCGTGAGGGCCGCACGCGGCCCTCCCCAGCTCCGTTTTTCCTGGCAGAGGGTTGCAGGAGGCCGTCGCAGCTGAAAATGGAGCTTGGGAGCCCGTTTTCACTGGCAGAGCGCTCGGGCCGCCACAGGCGCCCCGCCCAACGTGATGTCATGCTGGCCAAGCCCACCCCAGCCTCCCGAGGTCGAACCAGTAGTGGGTTTCTACCGGTTCGCCCCGGTTCGGGTAAACCGGTAGCAGCGGCGGTGGCGGGAGCCTCTGCCCACCTGCCCAGACGTCATCACGGACACTCTGTGCATGTGCATACTGAACCGCTAGCGAAGGTAAGTGAAACCCACTAGTGGGTCAAACACAAACTTGATGCGGCCCTCAATGAAATCGAGTTTGACACCCCTGGTTTACAGACTGCTTGGAAAGTGCCACAGCTATTTTAAAATCCGACGCTGATCTAGAAACACACAATTGAGAATATCGTCCCCTAGGTTGGCCCTTTGAGCAAACAACTGCCTTTTATCATCCTTCATCTGTTTTTCCCCTCCTCCTCTCTCTCTCTCTCTCTTCATATTTTCAACCAGAAGATCAATATTTTAGAACTCTTTATTTAAAAAAAAAAAAAAAGATATCCAAAAATAGGCAATTAAAATTAGCATTTATTACATTAGCTTTTCAAGGGGGTAATCTTATATACAAGAACAAAAGAGCAACTGCATTTTAAATTTTATATATAGCCCCTTCCCTCTGCAAAAAGTGCATTTCATGTTTTTATATATTTATTCTGCATTTATCTCCCCCCCCAATTTTTTTTAAAAAGAAAAAAAAAAACCTATCCAACAAACACGGAATGTCTTCTATGTGCTTTTGCTCACTCAACAACAGTAAATTAGTCGTTTAAAGTCGGTTTATTATTTTTTTACAAGAAAATGAACATTTAGAGTGCTCTGAATAATAATAACAGTAATAATAGGATTTAAGAAAATTGGCTTTTAGCTGATGGAATCGTCACTTTATCGTCCCTGTAGCTAAACAACATTTTTATTTTTATTTTTTGGTAAAGGGAAAAAAGAGAGTTTTATGACCCGCTCTCAGAATAAAATTCAAACTCTCTCTTTTGTGTGTATATATATATATATTTCATATATCATAATATATATTCTTAGAACACATAGCTTTAATAAAGCATTTTATTAAAGTTCTCCATAGGCTAAAAAAAAGGGGGGAATACTTTAAATGGACACCCACTTAGGAAACTAATCTCACATGGACAGTTAGAAGAAAAGTTTTTTTAAAAAAAAATTGGGGAAAAACAAAACAAAACAAATCCAACAGTTTACATTGAAAAGGTTTCTTTCGATTTAAATAAAACTTTCGGTGTAAGCAGAAATTATAAATAGATGTGTAGCTTTGTTTTATAGGACAATGTTGGGCGGCTGGATCTGAAGGAAAAGAAGAAGAAAAAGAAGAAAAGGAGGAGGAAGAAAAAAAGGAGGAGGAGGAGGAGGAGAAGGAGGACGCGGCGAAGTAGGAAAAGGAGAAGGAGAAGGAGAAGGAGAAGAAAAAGAAGAAGGAGGAGGAATTTGATCATGATTATGGATGGCCAGGAGATTAGAAAAGAAGCCACGATGAAAGAATTGGACGTAAATCAACATTGAACAAGATACTATCTAAGCGTTCGGAGAAGAACCTGATTTAGACTGTGCCTTGTTGAAGAACCTCAACGAGACACCATGGAAGAGGGGAACCCCCTCCCCCCCAGCAGAAGTGGAAGTTGTCCAAAGGATGGGCTTCTCCTTTTAAATTGGGGCGGTGGTGATGAGGATGGGAAGAAGGGAGAGCAGGAAGCATAAACAACATCAGATATCAAAAGAGAAGAAGCAATTCATTTCACTGGGGGAAGATTTCTACCTCTACGTCAACTTGCAACTGGAAATGTCCCCAAGTCCTTGCTTCATGTTTTTCACTGCTTAGTCCAGAGCAGAATTTCTAAACCCGGGCAATTTTTAAGAGCTGGGGACTTCAATTCCCAGAATTCCCCAGCCAGCCATGCTGGCTGGGGAATTCTGGGAGTTGAAGTCCACCCATCTTCAAGCGATCCAGGTTAAGAACTGAAAAGCATTATTTTTTTTGTGTGTGTAATTTTATTTTATTTTGTTTTGTTCGAAAAGTGCAACAGAATCGGCCCACCGAATCCAATGGGTCAACATTAGTGCAAAGAAGAAAAAGTCCTTGACAATTTAAAGGTGTTGTGTTCTTTTTATTCTTATTCATTTACCATGCTTAAGGCTTTGAGTAGGTGAAGTTGGGTTGAGCTGGAGAAGGAGGACCAACACACAGCCTCCCTCTCATCGAGACCTGCTGGAGGAAAAGAACTGGGGGAAAAATAATTGGCCAACTGGTGTTGCTACTGGAAGGTGGGCTGTCCCTCTGCTGCCATCTTGCCAGTGTCACAAGTTCCTTCTCCACCTCTTGCTGCTGGGGTCCTCGCTACAACTGGCTTTAATGGAGACAAGTCACGTTTCAAAGGTGCCTACAAAATCGAGTGTCTTGGAAGAGACGTCAACTCAACCAACGTTGGGCGAAGAGGGGGAGAAGTTGTAAGAAGTGGTAAAACGTTGAATGAGTTGGGGGTCCTCACAACTGGCTTTAATGGAGACAAGCCACGTTTCAAAGGTGCCTACAAAATCGAGTGTCTTGGAAGAGACGTCAACTCAACCAACGTTGGGCGAAGAGGAGGAGGAGGAGGAGGAGGAGACGTAAGAAGTGGTAGAACGTTGAACGAGTTGGGGTCCTCGCTACAACTGGCTTTAATGGAGACAAGTCATATTTCAAAGGTGCTTACAAATCAAGAGTCTTGGAAGAGACATCAACCCAGTCAACTTTGGGTGGAGAAGAGGAGAAGATGGAGGAAGTGGTGGAACATTGAATGAGTTGGTTTTCTCATCAAAAAAAAATTCCTGGATGCTACAAATTATGCTGGTTCAACCCTTGACAGATAAGCTCCCCTCCCACCACAAGAGACAATTACGTCCAGCAAAACATTCAACCCGTTTGACATTTTGGATCTTATCATCTTGATGGGCCAAACTTCTTGGTTGTTCCTCAGCGGTGTAAAGTCACCTTCCTTCCAGCTCGGGTGATCAATCTCTCCCAAGTTACATTCACACACAACGAGGACATGACCTGAGAACAGCTAAGGGTGTCAACAAGAGTGTGCGTGTCCTTCTCAGTTGGGGAGAAGAGAAGAAACTTTGGGGTTCTCTCCTATGGTTGCCATCTTATACCCATTTTAAGCACAATAGCATTTTTGGGGGGGGCAAGATTCTGGATTATTTTTCAACGGAATCAATCCCAGAAACTCCCGGATGTATTTTAAGCACCACAATACGCTCCTCCCAATAAATCATTCCTAATTTTTGGAAACCAATCAATCCTTTGAGTTTAGAGTGCTCCCCTCCTCTCCCCAAACGTACAAAATCAAACGACGAGAGAGAGAGACACACGCTTGGACCAAGCACCTTGTTGAAATTCACCAAGAAATCTACCCTGGGAAAAACACATTCTATTACCGATCACCCTTCGAAGCGAGAACAGCTTCTTCCTGAATTGTGGTTTAAAAAAAATCCACAAGTTTCTTTGGCAACACTTTACCACAACCTTAAAAACTATATATATATATATATCTATATATATTTTAAAAAAATAACCAATCCAATGCCGTATATACAGTATGGGATTGAAAGAGGCGAACCTTGCATGCAGTCGGTTATTTTTTTAATCATCGCTTGTACAGAGAGGATTTGAGATGAGTTTAAGGCAGAACGGACGCGAGAGGCCAACGCAGGACCGAATGCGAGACAGAAATGCAATTTTTTTTTTCTTTTTAGTGCAAATGCATCAAAGCTTGTGTTAAAGTGTTGCCGTCACTCATGCACAGCTCCCTCCTGATTTCATGTCCTCCGATTTGGGATTCCGTTCCCGTCCCACTGCCGTTTGATTAAAGGGGGGGGGGGTTGGGAAATGCCAAGTCAGTACAATATCTTTGATGACAACTGTACGACCACGAAGGGACACCAAGGACAGAGCTAAAAAACTCTGCTCTGGGCTGGTTTTGAACCAGGGTTATCTTCCCCTCCGAGTAGCACTGGAGTTACGACTGGCGAGGACAGGATGGGCGGGACAGTATTCATTTTTATTTTGCTTTTTTTTTTTTTTTTTTGGCAAATTCCTCGTTATAAAATGAAACACAGTTCCTCGGACGAGCAGAGATGATAACCTAGATTAAAACTGGGCCTAGCACCCCTGGTCGGCCAACTAATCCTGCCGAAATTGAAACCAAAAAAGGGGGCACTCAGGAAATGGGGCCAGCGGCTGTGTTTGGGGTTGGGTCATGGGCTCGAGCGGTACCCAAGATCACACTTTGGTTTGCCGTGTGGCAGAGAATCTGGGAAAGAGACCGCAGGTGTCCCTCGGCAAGGGGACAAAAAGAATACCCACTTGAACGACAGTGACCGAGAGTTTATAAAATATATAGATATACCTACAAAATGCTATATTGTGCTCATACCCAAGCAGCATCCTGACAGTCTCCTGTTGTTTCTTAGCCAAAGAGGACCTCGCATCTAGCTGAAAGTAGAAGCTGGATTTAAGAGAAGAAGGCATCAAATAGGCGAAAGGAAAATAAGGGGGGGGGATATTCATCAATTGTGAGGGGGCTTTGGAAGGAGGCAAACAGAGAGAGAGAGAGAGAGAGAGAGAGAAAGAAGGACACACAACTGGGAAAACAGTCATGGAGACAGGGGTGTAAAAACAACCTGGGACAGAAGAAACCACAACTTTTGGTTACTATAAGGAATCTCATGTATCTACCTATTTACAAAGTCCACGCTAATTTTTGCATATGCAATCATTGAAAATCAGTGCGAAGCCAAAGATCTCTGTGGAAGAGAAAGTGGAGGACGGGGCGGAGGGAAAGGGGAACACGACCATCCAGGTCCCCCCCGGGACCGTCGTCGGTTCCCCCTCCCCTCAAACGGACTACAATGGTGCAGGAGGAAAAAACAACAACAACAACAACAACAAAACAGAAGAGGACAAAATGGACCCCGGGAACTTGACGTGTCAAAAAACTTAAAAACGGATCACCCTCTTCCCATTCACCCCTTCATCTTTTTTTTTTAAAAAAAAATTCTAGGTCAGAGATGTGTCCAAACTTGACCACTTTTAAGACTTGTGGACTTTCAACTCCCAGAATTCCCCAGTTAAGGAATTCTGGGAGTCGAAGTCCAACAAGTCTTAAAGGGACCACGTTTGGTGACCCCTGGGCGTAGGTGGGTCAAAAGGAAAGGTCAAAAGATGTTCGGCTGGCTGCTGAGGCATGCTTTCGGATTTGTGCTCGTCTTGAATTTTCAGGGTGAATCGGCCATCCCGGCGAAAAATACATCAATTTGGAGGCGATATTTTTTGGTGGTTTTTCAGGTGGTTTTTCTCCTCTGGGTGGAGAAAGACCTTTACACATACACACTTGATGGAGAAAGAGAGAGACCCTCACTTCTCCGGGTTGCCAATGTTTCCCGCCTTTTACGAGCTGGAAAGGAAAATCGGTGGGTCGTCATTTTAGTGACGCAGCGGAAAGAGGAAGATTATGCCGTGGCAGATTTATGAGAAACCCCTCCCGACAGTTTACAAGGCCTGTACTCTTAATCCTGGCCTTACTTTACTCTGCAGCGGCCAGATTGACATCTGTTGGTCAGTCCAAACACTGAGACACTCCCAAGACCCACATCGCAATTGCGGAACGCACAAGCCCAGCACCGGCAATGAGACATGTATACAAAATCAGAAAGACGACAAAAAGAAAGAAGGGGAAAAAAAAATAAACGTACACAAAAAACCCCCCCATGATTCCTGCTTAAAAATTCAAGCTTCCATTTTTATATATATATATATATTGTTTTTCTGAAGTGCAAACCATATTCGAGGCTTGCTTTACATATATCTGCCTAAATTTTGTGGTGTGTCACAGAATCTAATTAAATCCAATCCTCCCCCCCTATTTTTGCTTCTGTTTCCCTATCAAGCCAACAAACCAAAATGGAAAAATCCCATTTGAGTCTTTTTCTTTCTTTCTCTCTCTCTCTCTCTTTGCAAATATATAGATATATATATATACATATTTGTTTTTCTCTTACAAAAATAAATTCAATTTTAGGAATTATTTTAATAAAAACAATAAACAACAATAAATTTCTCTCCGTAGAAGATGGTTTCAACGTGTAAACATATTTGTTTCTTTCTTTTTTATAGATATATAGATATATATTTTTTTCTTTTAAATTAAGATAAAGTGATTTTAAAGTACCCGTTCCATTTCAAAGTGCTAAGACTTCTTTGTTTCTAATCTTTTTTTTGTGTGTTTTTATTGCTTTTTTTTTTGTATTAAATAAAACATCCATCTTTTTCCACCTGTCTGCTTTTTTTTATATAAATCCTCTCCGTACAACATACGCTCCCCTATTTAATTACATTCGGCCAAACGGTTCACCTTTTTTTTTTAATATATATTTAAATTAAAAAGGAAATCTAAAAAGTGCTTGCCAAAAAAGAAAAACCAAAGAAAGAAAGAACAAAAAGAAAAGAAAAAGAAAATAAGACTAAAATTCTTCTCTCATATATCATTTTTAAACTGTGCATTTTAAAAAACTCGGAAATGGCTAAAAGGTGCCCTTAGTTTATTTATTTATATTTTTTAGCTTAAAGGGAGCTGTGTCTTTAATAAATCTTTTTTTTTTTGATACAGCTACTGCTTTATCTACACAACTGCTTCTACCAACACAAGAGGATAATAGGAAGAGATTTCATAAATCACCCCAAAGACAACTTTGGACCCCAAACCTTACCGCGATCCAAATGGACACCCTTAAGTGCGAATCTGGCTCTCTAAGGCTCCCAGAACGAGGGAGCATATAAAAAAGGGACATAATTGGGGGGAGAAGGGGTGAGGGTGTGGGGAATAAATGACTTTTTCTTCCCTGAATTAACTAAGGTTTAATTTATGCCAGGGACACACATCATTTTTCTTACAAAGCCGTCGCTGGGCCAATATTTCCCCATTTGGCTCGTTTCGGGATAAAATGGGGTAGAGAGAAGGTGTTTGGAAAAAGCTGAAGGCAGAGAAGATGAAGGGGAGAATTTGAAGTATAAAAGCCCACCTTTCAGCCTGGGACCCCCCACCACACCCCCGGCATCCGTGCGACAGCTTTGGGGGGGGGCAGCCCAGGCCTCTCCCCACCTGAAGTGTCCGAGGTCTAACTCTGTGTCCAACCCACAAGATTTGGGGGGGGTCGCGCCAAACAGTACCGCTCTTCCTTTGCAAGCCACGGCCTGAAGGCAAGGCGGGCCTGCCTAAACGAAACTAATCACCACCCAGAGAGATTGGGATGTCTGGAGGATTTGGTAGAACCTCCTGAAGTTGGGAGTGTCTCGAATCGGCTTCACCCGAGGTCTGGGATGTTGACTAATTCAAGGACCACCTTCCAACGTACAACAAGATTGTACGTACAAGTTTTGATTGACTTCGAAACTTGACAATTGGAATATTTGTACCAACCCTTGAGGGAGTGTGTATCAGAGCAGGGAGGAATAATCGGAAGAGCTCAACGCGTGGCTCATGCAATCGAGCCCAGTCGCGAGATCTCTTCCGCAGAACTCGGCGGGGGACAAAAACGATGCTCTTTAGGGATGGGAAAGATAAACTTTGTACTGCAACTTTCAGTACCACTTAAACACAGCTTTGTTTGGTTCACCCCAGGGAGGAGGGGGAACAAAGAACGAGATTTTAAGTAAACAGTCTTAGCATCAATCTTGGAAATCGTGGCTTGTTACAACTGTCAAGGGCATTGTGGTTTGTTTGATCACAAATAATCCAAAAGGCAAGCCCTTGTAAATCCTTTGGCCCACTTAACACTACATGGGATCTTGGATTGTAAGAAACTTAACGACACCAGCTTGGCTTTTCCCTGCTCGACAGGCCAACATCCTGTCCCTGAACCTGACATTTGAGAGCCATGCCCAATAAATGTTGAAACCCCTTTTTCTACGAAACACCGAAAGCTTGAAGAAAAGAATTTAGGCGTTTGGTGCTCCTTCACCAAATTTTTTAAAAATGGGCCCGAAATTCTCTGCCGACAGCCTTAAGAACTATGATTTGACTTAAGAGGAAAACTCTTCAAGCAGCTTTGTAGGGAAAAAAATGAGAATTTTAGAAGGGGGGGAGGAGGCGAAGGGGGGGTGATTGGGAAGAAACGGAGATATATATATATATATATATATATTCCCCTAAAGCTTCCTTTTTTTTCTTTTTAAGTGAGCCAATTTACTGACCCCTTACATTGCGTCCCTTTGGAACAGCGGCTTCTAAAATACCTAAAAATAAGGCCATTATAATATATATGTATGTATATATATATATATAGTTTTAAAACTTAAAAACTAAGACAAATTCTGGAAGCTTCGTTTCATGTTTTGCAGACCTATTCTCTCTACTCCCCTTAATATCCCCCCCTGACCCGCCCCCCGGCTCAAAACCTTGATTGCTGGGTGGTCTCCTTTTCAAGGCAGGGACCGGGTTTTAAAATTCATCCGCGACTAACAAGAGTTCATAACTGAGTGGGTAGATCACAAAACAGAGATACATTATACACCTATAAGGCTATTCTGACTTTAGTTTTTGTTTCATTTCTGTCCAAAAAAAAAAAAGTGAAGAAACCATATATATATATTTTTTTTCTCTCAAGAGGAACCGGAGGAAAGTTATAACTAGATTTTGTGACACATTTTTTTCTTTTTTTTTTCTTTTTGGTTTAGGAAAGTCCTCATGTTTTTTTTTTTAAATCCCCCTCAGACAATCCCCCCAGCTACATTCAAACTTCCCGACGCCGCGTGGGCGTTCGAATTATCTTCAAAGTGCTGTTCTAACTCGTCCTGGGGCGCGGCGGGCCCCTGCGTCTCCTCGGCCTCCTCGCCCCCCGCCAGGCTGCTGTCGTCGGGATTCGAACTCGGGACCGGGGCGACGGCCGCTTCTCTCACCCGGGGTTTGCGCCCCCGGCGGGAAGGGATGCCGTTGCAGCCATCTTTTTTAAGGTGCCGATGCAAATGGTCGGATCGGACAAAAGTCTTGAAGCAGCTCTCGCACTGGTAAGGGCGGAGACCCGTGTGGACGCGCATGTGATTTTTCAGGTCGTAGTTGTGGGCGAAGGCGGCCCCGCATTGCTGGCACAAGTAGGGCTTCTCCCCGGTGTGTTTTCTCATGTGGACCTTCAGCTTGTCTTGCCTGCAGGAGGGGGAAAAAAAAGAGTCAGGGTGAATTGGCTCGCTGACTGAGCTGGCTCTTTTTCTTGTCTTGGCTCAAGCTAGGTATCTGCAGAGATCCAAGCCATGTTTTTTTTCAAACTCGGCCACTTGAAAATGGGTGTCAGGGTTCCAAGTAATACTCCCATGATAAATAGGATTCCGATGAAGAACTGATTTATTGGAAATATCATATAGGCACAGGCTGGCGAAAACCGACTCTGAATATCCCTGCGGTTTTCACCAAGTGAAAAGAAAAAGTTTTTCCCCTTCCCCAAACAGTCAGTTACATGGTCCAATCGTTGGGTCATCCAGTTGCCTGGTAACGGCACTCCGCCTCTCTCCAACCACCTGTGGGAATGCCCTTGGTTCCCAAGAGAAAAGTATTTTGCTTTGGCTACAACCCCTTCTATCTCTACTCCCCCCTCCCTAACCCTCAGTTCCAGTGTGGCAACGCTGAAGCTAGAAAATGGCCTTGCTTAGGCCAACTTCAGAGTCAACAGAGAGGGTGGACTTCGACTCCCAGAATAGCTGTGTGAGGAATTCTGGGAGCTGAAGTCCCAGAATTGAAGTCCAGGGGTCTTAAAGCTGCAGAGTTGTGAAACACCGTCGTATGGAATTGAGAAGAACATTCAAAGGAGCCTCCTTTAAGAACCGAGAGTATGTATGGCAGGCTGGGGTATTCTGGGAGTTGTAGTCCTCATGTCTCACAGTGGGCAAGTTTAAAAAACCCACTATTTTAAAAGTAATGTTTTTCAATTTAGACAACTTCCAGATGTGATGACTTCAATGTTCATTTTTAAATTTTTTTTTAAATTTGATTTATATGCCGCCCTTCTCCGGAGACTTAGGGCGGCTTAAAATGCGTTAAGCAATAGCCTTCATACTTTTGTATATTTTACAAAGTCAGCTTATTGCCCCCACAAACTGGGTCCTCAATTTACCTGCCTTAGAAAGGATGGAAGGCTGAGTCAACCTTGAGCCTGGAGAGATTCGAACTTGCAGTAATTGCAGGCAGCTGGTGTTAAATTACAATGCATTAGTCTGCTGAGCTACCCAGGCTCAGAAAGAAATTTCTTTCTTTGCTCCATTATTTCCTTTGTATTTTGTTCTTTTAAAAAATTAGAATTCAGCTGAATTCTCAGGAATGCTCATGCTGGCTGGGGAATTCTGGGAGTCAAAGTCCACATACTGGAAAGGCCTTCAACTCCCAGAATTCTCAGGGAAAAGTCATGCTGGCCGGGGAATTCTGGGAGTCAAAGTCCACATATTGGAAAGGCCTTCAACTCCCAGAATTCTCAGGGAAAAGTCATGCTGGCTGGGGAATTCTGGGAGTCGAAGTCCACATACTGGAAAGGCCTTCAACTCCCAGAATTCTCAGGGAAAAGTCATGCTGGCTGGGGAATTCTGGGAGTCAAAGTCCACATACTAGAAAGAGACTTTCAACTCCCAGAATTCTCATGCTGGCTGGGGAATTCTGGGACTTGAAAATTGCTCCCTGGATATATCCACATAATGCAATTTTGAGCCACTTTCAACTTCCATGCTAACTGGAGAATTCTGGGAGTTGAAGTCCACATACCCAGAGAGCAGCTTTCAACTCCCAGAATTCTTAGGAACAGTCACGCTGGCTGGGGAATTCTGGGAGTGGACAATTGCTCCAGTGATGGGTTGCCCCTGGTTCGCACCGGTTCTATAGAACCGGTAGTAAAACCGTCAGGAGGCTCCGCCCACCGATCCCGATGTCATCAAAACACTTCTGCACTTGCACAGAAGAGCGCGCCTGCACGAGGGAACCGCTACAAACCAGTAGTAAAGGTAAGTAGATCCCATCCCTGGGTATATCCACATATTCCGAGAGCCACTTTCAAGTTCCATGCTAACTGGGGGACTCTGGGAGTTGTAGTCCATGCTTGAGAAAGGCATCCATATTGGAAAAGCACTAACTTTCTCCTCTCCCAGCCTCTAATACAGGCTAAAGAATTTTTTCTTAGGACTAAGTTCTGCTCCGTTACCTAAATATGTCGAAACTCTTATTCCTTTTAATAACTACTAGCCCCTAGTAATATTAAACCCAGCCAGCCTGGTTGTAGCCGAAATAGGAGACTGGAATGGCCCTGAAGTGGACAAAAATTAACTAAGCCTTATAAAAAAATAACTTTATGGGGAAAAACACTTGAATCGGAGCCAGACGTCGTTTGCGCGGAAGCGGGGAAAACAAAACAAAACCCAGACTGCCTTGCGGCTCATCCTCCACGGGTTTTTCAACTACAGGCAGTCCTCGACTTACGACGGTTCGTTTAGTGACCATCCGAAGTCACAACGGCACTGAAAAACAAGTCACTTACGACCCTTTTTCACACTGACGACCGTTGCGGCATCTCCGCGATCGCGGGATCAAAATTTAAGACGCCGGGGCCACCGGTTCGTATTTACGACGGTTTTAGTGTCCCAGGGTTACATGATTCCCTTTTCCCCGACAAGCAAAATCCACGGGGGATTCACTGAACTAGCGTGAGACTAACTCAATAATGGCAGTGATTCGCTTAACGACGGAGGCAAGAAAGGTGGGTCCAAAAAATTAACTTATCACCGTTTCGCTTGGCGATGGAAATTTGGGGCGCCGTTGCGGTCATACGTCGAGGACTACCTGTCGGTCAGGACTACCGTCCGGAAAACCTTTTCTGGCTGGCAACAGCCCCCAGGATGGGCAATGAATGTCCAGCAATAGAAAAGGCAGCATCGTTTCGGAGACAGCCAGGGCTTCAGGCTGCTCTCCAGAGCCCCAGAGAGAGGAAGCTAATTTGATGTTCCAGTTTTGTACAGTCTTACGTCGTTCCAGGCCTCGAAAAATCTTTTTTAATGGACTCTGAATGGCTCAGAGTATTCCCCTGACTGGACGGGCTAAAAGCATCATAAACCAAAGCCAGGAGAAGGAGAGTGGAAATGTTTTCTTGGTGATAAGATGACGGAGTCTTGTCGGTTGAGCTGCAACTCGGTGCAACTCTCTAGAGACACAGCTTTGGGGTTTGTGGGTGGGATGGTGTAAGAGGAGAAAGCATCTTCCATCTTCCTTCTCCTCACACCCTTCCCCCTCCCAGTGGTGGGATCCTACCGGTTTAGCAATCGGTTCGGTGATCGCACGCTTTGCCCGAACCGGTCTGAACCGGTAGAATCCCATCCTTCCCCCTCGCCAAAAAAAAACAGGAGGTCTTTTGCTAAAGGAAGAGAATTCAGCTAGTTGTCAAATTTTGCTATACAATATGGGATGGAACCCCCTTGGAATGGGGCTCCGTTTTCAGCCGCGACGGCGTCCTGCAGCCCTCTGCCAGCAAAAACGGAGCTCCGTTTTCATTGGCAGAGGGCTGCAGGATGCCGTCGCGGCTGAAAACAGGGTCCGGGGTGGCCGCAAGAGGGGGCCCCCCCCCGTAGTCTGTTTTCCTTGGCAGAGAGCTAGCCAAACAAACTAACTTTCCCCTTTTGCATTTGAGCATGCAAGAAGGGACAGGAGAAAGAGAAAAGACGAAGAAAAAGAAGGGAAGATGGGACGAGAGCAAGGAAGGAAAAATCAGGCAAGAGGGGAGGGAAGGAAGGAAGGAAGGAAGGAAGAATGAGAGTGAGGGAGGGTCTCAGGGAAGTTCTTCCCTAGCAATTGGGCACCCAGGTGCCCCCGACACAAGTGACGTCGAGCTGGCCACGCCTACTTTAGCGACCACACCTGTCCTCCCACCCCCGAGGTCAAACACAACCCTGATGCGACCCTCAATGAACTCGAGTTTGACACCCCTGGTGTAAGAGGACAAAGCATCCCCCATCTTCCTCCTCCTCAGCCCTGGCCCCGAAAAACAGGAGGTCTTTTGCCAAAGGGAGAGAACTTAGCTAGTCCTGGACTTACAACCATTCCTATAGCAACCGTTCAAAGTTAAAACAGCACTGAAAACACCGATAAGTCACAAAAGTGACTTACGATCGTTTTTCACACTTAACGATTGTTGCGATATCCCCGCGTTCAAAATTCAGATGTTTGGCCCAGGGGTGGGTTCTAAAATTTTTTACTACTGGTTCTGTGGACGTGGCTTATTTTGTGGGCATGGTTTGATGGTCATGTGACAATTCTTTAGGATTTATCAGAGGTACTGGTCTACCAGGCTTTTAAATGCTTGTAGAGCTGTACCAGTCTACCCATTTGTTTTTCGAGCGTCCTGGTCTACCACCACACTGCCTTTTAACACTGATCAGCTGTAGGGCGGCCCTTTGAAGCCCTGCGGCAAGAGTTTAAACAGTTTTTTTCCTTCCAGCCGATCAGCTGGGACTCGGGAGGCAGCAAAAAATTGGGTGCGGGGCCAAATAAAAGGTAAGAATAATGTGGGGGGGGGGGTGGGAGGGCCCAGCTCCCGAACAAAGAGAACCGGTTCGGTGACGTCCTATCGTCACCGCTACCGGCTCGGCCGAACCAGACCAAACCGGGAGGAACCCACCACTGGTTTGGCCGCCAGTTCATATTTATGACGGTTGCCGCGTCCCAGTGTGTGTGTGTGTGTGTGTGTGTGTGTGTGCGTGCGTGACGCGATCCTCCTTTTACAACCTTCTGACCAGCTCAAGGTGCCTCCCTTAGCAATGTTACGACTAAGTTGACAGCTGCAGTGATTTGCTTAACGATGGGGGCCAGGAAGCTTGCAAAGTGGGACAAAGCTCAATGAAGAACTGCCTCGCTTAGCAACGGAAATGTTGGGCGCAATCGGAGTCGTAAAGTCGAGGACTGCAGCTAAACCCCAATCGAGCCCGAGACTTCCGTTGTTAAGCAAGACATTCATTCAGTGAGTGTTTGTCCCGTTTTACGACTTTTCTTGGCACACTTGTTAAGGGGATCCCTGCAGTTGGAAGATTCTGCAACTTGGTTGTTAAGTGAACCCGGCTTGACTTTGCCAGTTAGGTCGCAAAAGGGGGAAATTGTGTGACACTCCCCCGCCCCCGGGGTGTTGTGACCGTCATAAATCTGAACCAGTGGCCAAGCTTCTGTACATTGATCACGTGACCCTGGTAATGCTGAAAAGTTGTCACTGTGAAAAGCGGTCAGGAGTCTCCTTTCTCAATCCCGATGTAACTTTGAATGGTCACTAAATGAACCGTTGTAAATCGAGGACTACAGTACTTGTATTCTTTCCATCCTCCCCCAGTGTTTTGTAAAATCGGTTTCCAAGCCTTGGCTTCGCCGGGGGTGTGTGTGTCTAATCCCCACCCTCTTCCTCCACCCCTGAATAGAATATAATAAAATATCAGAGTTGGAAGGGACCTTGGAGGTCTTCTAGTCCAACCCCCTGCTTAGCCAGGAAACCCTATCCCATTTCAGACAAATGGTTGTCCAATCTCTTCTTAAAAAATTCCAGTGTTGGAGTACCCACAACTTCTGGAGGCAAGCAATTCCACTGGTTAATTGTCCTCACTATCCTGTTTCCCCGAAAATAAGACATCCTCCGATAATAAGCCCAATCGGGCTTTTGAGCGCATGTGCTAAAATAAACCCCAACCCCCCCCAAACTCCGAAAATAAGCCCTCCCCAAAAATATTTAAACACAGCTGGAAATCAGGTAAGACGGCAAGAGGAGCCCCATCTTGCTCCATGCACCCCAAAATAATAAGACCTCTTTGAAACCAAGGCCAAGCGCTTATTTCGCGGTTCAAAAAAATATAAGACAGAGTCTTATTTTCGGGGAAACATGGTATTAGGTAGCTTCTCCTTAATTCTAGGGTGCTTCTCTCCCTGATCAGTTTCCACCCGTTGTTTCTTGTCCTGCCCTCAGGTGTTCTGGAGAATAGCTTGAACCCCCCCCCCTCTTCTTTGTGGAAGCCCCTCAAATTTCAGAACACTGCTATCATGTCACCCCTAGTCCTTCTTTCCATCAGACTAGACATACCAAATTCCAGCAACTATTCTTTATATGTTTGAAGAACAGGTTGGACTGCCCTTTGTCAAGGGTAGGGCAGTGATGGCTAACCTTTTTGCTGTCGCGTGCCAAAAGCGGGGGGAGCCCAGGGGGGGGGTTGTGCTTGTGTGTGCCTACACCCGCAATTCAATGCGGGGACCCCCACGCATGTGTGCACAACCCCCTGTGCTTTCCCCGCTTTTGGCACGCGATGGCACGGTAGGCCAGGTAGGCCCGTTTTTTGCCCTCCCCAAGCTCCAGAGACTTTCTTGGAGCCTGGGGAGGGCAAAAAGAGCCTTCCCCAACCTCCAGGGACCTTCCAGAGGCTGGAAACGGCCCATTTCCTGATAGGACAGGAAGGCCTGAAAATCAGCTGGCCTGTACGCACATGCGCACTGGAGCTGAGCTAGGGCAGTACTGGCAGTCCATCAAACCATAAAGCCTGAGCCTCCAGTCCCCTGATCCTCTTTGTTGCTCTTCTCTGCAGTCTTTCTAGAGTCTCCACATCTTGTTTACATCGTGGCGACCAAAACTGGATGCCGTATTCCAAGCGTGGCCTTACCAAGGCCTTATAAAGTGGTATCATCACTTCACGTGATCTTGATTCTATCCCTCTGTTGATGCAGAATAAGATTTGGCAAATAGGTTTACGGGAGAGCAATGCAACCTTCTGCAACCGCATTCAGCCTGCTTGGAAGATCAATTTTCATAGCACGCTGACAGGGCTTGGAAGAACAATTTTAATGCAAAGGGAGGCCCACCCCCCCTTCCCAGGAGAGGGAGAACGGCTCTAAGAACATTAAAGGGGGTGGGGTGGGGATGGGAGAATAATTTGCATCCTCTACTTCGAGGTCACGAGCAACTAGCTGGCCTCTTGCCCAGAAGATCCTTCTGGAAACAACAACAAAAAATAAAAAACCCCGAGCCTCCACGGAGCAGCCCTTGTACTTCTTCTCCATCACTCACACCGAGACTCCCCACAGGCAGCCGTGGTGACCGAGTGAATTTGGTTCCTGGATTTGCACAAGGAAGGACTCGCCGAGCGAGCCGGGTTGGCCCGACCTGCTCGGCCACCCAAAGAGAGAAGAGAAGCCAACCCTCCCCAGGAGTGAAAACTGGTCCAACTTGTGTTGTGTGCAAATGGGGACGCTAGAGATTTAACTGAAGTCTCTATGGCAGCATTTCTCAGACTCGGTAACTTTGAAAGGCCTGGACTTCAACTCCCAGAATTCAAGCTGGCTGGGGAATTCTGGGAGTTGAAGTCCAGGAGTCTTAAAGTCGAGAAACACTGCCGGAGAGACTTTGGATTCTCAATTTGAGATTAGCAATTACTATTAAAGAAAAAAACACAATGACTTTAGTTTCTCCTTGGAAACCGCTTCTGGACTTTGTGCTCGAGGTGGGGAAAAAAATATATGAAACTTTGATTTTGGGGTTTACCGACGAGATAGGTTTGTGGTTATAGAAATGGCTAGTTTATACTATTATGTAAAAGTAAAAAGTTGAGGTTTGATGCTATTACCTTATTCTACGGCACCAAAGGAAGTCGAAAGTCAATGCCTTTTCTTTATTTTTCTCCTTTTTCCTACGATTTCCCTTTCCCTATTTTCTTTTGTACTTTATATTATAAACTAACTAAAAAAAAGAGAGGTTAGAGTCTCTCCAGAAGGAGGCAGCCTGGACCCACGGATATATTTGGGGCTCTATCTGCCATCAATTTCAGCAGGCACAAACCGTCCGTAAAAAGACTGTGAAATTTGGAGACACAAATATCTGGAGAACACGGTCTCGAGGTCTGTTGTGGGGGTTGCTAGAGATCAAATATCCTGTTCAATTGTGGGCTTCTACGAACACCCCCAGTTGTCTTCTGCCCAGCCTGTGATCCACCACATCTGTTTATAGAGAGTCCTCGATTTACGACTATTTGTTTAATGACAGATCGAAGTCACAAACCAGCTCAGAAAAAGTGACTTAGGACCACTGCGGTCCATACGGTCGCAATTTGGGTGCCACCCTTGTATTTATGACAATTGCGGCATCTTAGTCCCGTGATCACAAGCTTCCAACCGGCAAAGTCAATTGGCGAAGCTAGATTCGCTTAAGGACCACATGATCTTGACGGGGAGATCAATTAACCGGTGGAACGACTTGCCTCCAGAACTTGTGGGTGCTTCATCACTGGAGGCTTTTAAGAAGAGACTGGACAGCCATTTGTCTGAAATGGTATAGCATTTCCTGCCTGAGCAGGGGGTTGGACTAGAAGACCTCCGAGGTCCCTTCCAATTTGGTCATTCTGTTCTGTTTTGACTTGCTTAACAACTGCAATAAAAATGGTTGTAAAATAGGATCTGGTCAGATGAGGACTCACTTAGTGACAGAAATCCCAATCCTAATTGCGTCATAAATCGAGGACTAGCTGTAGACCACACGGGCTTTCTTGGCTGTGCAGCACATAAAAATATGCACACACTGATCTTGATAAAGTGGCCCAGTCAAATTTGGAAACATCTTCAACAACCTCCTTCCCCGAAGTGTAGGAAGACCAAATTAAACAACCCTTGTCAAAATCAGACAGAACAAGGCCTGGCATTCTCCATATGGAGGACAAAGGAGTAAGTAAAGATAAAGGTTTCCCTGTCAGTCATGTCCGACTTTAGGGGGTGATGTTTGTCTCTGTTTTTTGGCTGAGGAAGCTAGTGTTGTCTGAAGACAATTTCGGTGGTCATGCGGCCAGCTAAAGGCACACAGAACGCTGTTACTTTCCCACCAAAGTGGTACCTATTTATCTACTCGCCTTTGCACGAAGTGGTACCTATTTATCTACTCGCCTTTGCATGCTTTTGATCTGCTAGGTTGGGCAGGAGCTTGAGCAAGGAACGGGAGCTCACCCCATCATACGACGCTCAGGTCTCAAACCCGGGATGTCAGCTCTTTAGCTGACAAGGTCAGTGTCTTTACCCGCTGAGCCACCGCGCGCCCAGCAAATGAATATCATCTCAATGATGAGGGTATAATCGAAAAGCTAAAAAGAAAGAAAAGGGGGATGTACAGTCAATCCCAGTCCAGTTCTGGGAATTTTAGCTACGTTGTCCCTGGGATTGATTTAAATACAGGTAGTCCTCGATTTACAACCGTTTGTTTAGTGACTGTTCAAAGTTACAACGGCACTGAAAAAAGGGACTTAAGTTCATTTTTCACACAACCGTTGCAGCAACCCCATGTTCACATGATTAAAATTCAGATGCCTGGCAACTGGCATGTACTTATGACGGTTGTAGTGTCCCAGGGTCATGTGATCCCTTTTTGTGACCTTCTGACAAGCCAAATTCACTTAACAACTGCAGTGATTTATTTAACAACTGTGGCACAATTGGCTACAGCTGTCTTGATCAGCAACAGAAATTTTGGGTTCCCCTGTGGTCGCAAAGTCGAGAACTACCTGTTTTAGAATTTCTCGGCAAGGGAACTCCCCTGGCTTCTTTCCCCTCTGCGATACCCCGCTTACCTTGTAAACCGAACTTTGCAAATGTTACACTCGTACGGCTTCTCGCCGGTGTGGGTTCGAATATGGCGTGGGAGCTTGCCGGCTCCTTGGATCACTTTCTCGCAGATGGGACATTTCTGGAATGCTTTTGCGCGGATTTTCTTCTCCACCTTCTGAGACCAGGACGGATATTCGCCGCCCTCCTGGGAAGTGCTAAAATAATTCAAGTAATAATCCATGACTCCGTCGTCGTCCTTGCGGTCCTCGTCGGCCAGCTGTTGCCGTCCCACCGAATTGATCATTTGCTGCAGGAGCGCGCTAGCGGCCAAGCCGTCTACTTCTCGGGGGTCCTCCTCTCGCTCGGGTCCGCCGGAAGCAAACGCCGGAGAATCTCCCACCTCCTGCTGGTCCAACTGAATGCCCGCTGGTACGTCATCCTCCCCCAAGGACACCGGCAGGCTACGCCCACCGAATTGTCCATTTTGAGAAGCGGGGAACAAGGGTCCCTGGCCCGTCACCTCGTCCTCGTCCCACATGGCGTGCTTGGCATCGAGATCACAGTCGTTTGCCTTTGGTCTGTCACTGAGGGCGGCCTGCGAGTAGAACTCCATGCCGTTGCAATCCGGCTCTTCGTCCTCCTCTCGGCCACGGAAGGTGAGCCTCTGAAGGTCTCTCAAGTCTTGGTTGGTCCATGGAAAGTTGCCCTGTTGGCCATTGATGGGATTACTCTGGAAAAACTCCAGGTATTCTTTTGCTCGGAGATGGTTCCTTTGATCAATTTGATCTACTGTATCCATCTGGTCCGTTTTGGCCAGAATCTTCCGGTCCAGGAGATCCGTGCAGACGTCCCTCACCGCCTCGATCTCTAGCAGCTTGGCGGCGTTGAGGATCTCGCCGACGTTCGAAGTGCTGACGGTCAAAGTGGCGGTGTAGGCGAATTCCAGCAAGGCAGAGAGGGCGTCCGCATCCACAAAGTCAATCTCGTACACGTTCTGTTGGTCGACCACCAGCCCTGAGGTGAAGAGCTTCTTGAAGTATTGGCTGCAGGCCGCCAAGACTGAGCGATGGGTGGGGAACTCCTGCCCGTCCACCAGGATCACCACGTCGCAAAGCAGCCCGTTGTTCCTCTGCTCGTTCAGGCTGCTCAAGATGTCGCTGCTGTGGTCGGGAAAGGGGATTCCAATGGGGCCATCCACACCGCCCTCCATGCTGGCACCAGAGGGCTGTGAAGACAGAGGCAAGACGCATGTGGTCAATCAAGACACAGGGGTTCAGCAACGAGCGCTTTCCCTAACACTCAATTTCGTACAGCCACAAACAATTATTCCCGTCCGTACATGACAGTCACTTGTGCCAGTTAGTTCCAGTTAACTGACTAACGCAAGGGTCTCCAAACTTGGGCACTTTAAGACTTGTGGACTTCAACTCCCAGAATTCCTCAGCCAGCCCTACTGGTTGGGGAATTCAGGGAGTTGAAGTCTACAAGTCCTAAAGTTTGGAGATGCCCTAGACTAAAGAAATAACCAGAAGGCCTTTCAATCTTTTATAGGCGACGGGGAGATGCTGCTTGGGGGCTTTTGCAAAATGGCTGCCGTGGTCTTTGTGGGCAAATTACGTGGTATTGCCGAGAATATCTGAAGCTCAGGGTTGAACTGTGGGATCCCTGGTGCTCTCTGAGCTCTTATAGACGTTTCCTCACCCAACTGGGTAACGTCATCAATGCTAGAAGGCAACGAGGTTGTTATACTGTTTATATACTACCAGTTTAACGGCCTAATCAAGGAACCATCAAGAACACTCCCACCAACACTGACCGGGTCAGCCACTAGTATATAAAATGAGAGTAAACCTCACTGCCTTCTAATACTGCTGGTGTTACTTAGTTGGGTCATGAAACGTCTGCCAAGAAATTCAGCAAGCTCTGAGAGCGCCAAGGACCACCACCACCACCCGTCATAGTGTTTTAACTTCATTATAACTACAGTACTCACTCCTGTAGGGTCTGGGTAGCTTACAAATACAAAACAATGAGAAAACACACACAACCAGAGGTGGGATTCTACCGGTTTGGGTGAATCGGTAGCTCCGATGATCAGCTGGGAGTGAATCGGTTCGCTCCGACGATCACGTGGGCCCGCCCCTTCCCGCCCCTGCGCTTTGCTGACCTATTTCCTCTCAACTGATTCGCGCGGCAGAGCGGATTGCCGCGCCTCACCTGTGTTACTCCCCAGCAGTAACGCGGAAGTTAAGTTTTCGTAAAACTGCACACGCGAAGCGCGCGAACACCGAACCGGTTGTTAACCCGGCAGGATCCCACCGCTGCACACAACCTCTCTGAGTTAAACTGTCCTCATCTCTAGGGGACGCTGTTTCCAGAGACTGGAGCGTCGTCACAGAGAAGCCCTGGTCCCAAAAGACAACAAGGTCCAAATTTTGATCACGCGACCACGGGGGTGCTGCAACAGTCGCTAAGTGTGAAAAAAGGGTCACAAGTCACTTCTTTCACTGCTGCCGTAATTTCCAACGATCACTAAATGAACTGTCGTAAGTCCAGAAGTCCCTTTACTTTATTCTGGGATCACCGAGATAAAACCCAACTTTTCGAGCGTGGATTGTTCAGGCGTGAAGCTCCACAATGTTTCTTCCTTGCATTTAGTACACAAACCACACCTGTGTTGTTGTTGTGTGGCTAAACAACCACCCTGGTGTATTGAAAAGCAAGTTTCCCGACAGGAAAGGCGGCTTCTCCACTCCCCACGTTGCTAATGTCGGAACATAGATCGGCAAACTCTGATTAAGCCAAACCACAGTTTATGGACTGCAATCCACCCAGGATGCTGCGGAAACCACAACATAACCCACCAATCAGTCAGCTGCTTGAAAAAGGAGCCCCTCCCGTAATAATTACATTGTAAGCAATCAGGCTCAACAACTCATGCCGCTAGTCCTCATGTTCTTGTTCGTATGTTACTAGAGCGAAATTGCTCTGATGACAGCCCCAATCGGGACGAGGATTTCTGTTGCTAAGCATGGCGGGTAGTTCAAGTGAGTTCTGTTCCAATTTGGGGACCTCGTTTTGCGACAGGGCTGTTAAGCCAACCGCTGCCGTCGTTAACTGAATCACACGGTTGTTAGGAACACACTGTCGCTAAATGAATGGCTGCAAGTCAAGGACTACCTCTACTGAGGAAAAACGAACCAGGGATATAAGCGGTCCTCTACTTACGACCACAACGGAGCCCTAAGCAACATAGCGAAGTGAGCTTTGCCTTCTTTTACGACCTTTCTTCCAGTTGTTAAGTGAATCGTTTGCAGATGTTAAATTCGCGACACGATCGTTAAACGAATCCGGCTTCCCTCACTGACTTTGCTTGTCAGAAGGTCGCCAAAGTGGATTACGCGACCCCGGGATATTGCGACCGTCATAAATACACACCAGTTGCCAAGCTTCCGAATTTGGATCACGTGATAATGCAACTTGGCCCGGCTGAAGAATTCTGGGAGTTGAAGTCCACGAGGGTTAAAAGTTGCCAAGTTGGGAAACCCCTGGGGTAAGTTAGTAGAATGATGATCCATGGATCACCTCAATTCTTTTCTAAGGATCTCTTCGCATGGCTGGTCAGGATTCCTTTTGACCACAGGCTCGATCGCCATGCTGAAGAGACCATAGGCAGTCCTCGACATACAACATTTCAGCCCAAAATTTCTGTTGTTAAGCGAGAGAGTTGTTAAGTGAGTTTTGGCTCATTTTACGACCTTTCTTGTCACAGCTGTTTAGTGACTCACTACAGCTGTTAAGTTAGTGTTAAATGAATCTATTGATTCTATTCTATTCTATTCTATTCTATTCTATTCTATTCTATTCTATTCTATTCTATTCTATTCTATTCTATTCATTCTATTCCATCCATTCCATATCCTCTATTCTATTCTATTCTATTCTATTCTATTCTATTCTATTCTATTCTATTCTATTCTTCTATTCTATTCTGTAATTCTATTCTATTCTGTAATTCTATTCTATTCTATTCTGTATATTCTGTTCTATTCTATTCTATTCAATTCTGTAATTCTGTTCTATTCTCTTCTATTCTCTAATTCTGTTCTACTCTTCTATTCTGTAATTCTCTTCTCTTCTCTTCTCTTCTCTTCTCTTCTCTTCTCTTCTCTTTCATTGAATCTATTGAGCAGGGGGCTGGACTAGAAGACCTCCAAGGTCCCTTCCAGCTCCAATCTAATTCTAACTCTAATTCTGGCTTCTCCATTGACTTTGCTTGTCAGAAGGTCGCAAGAAGAGATCACCTGCCCATCCCCCCCCCGCGGGACACTACAACCGTCATAAACATGAACCAGTGGCCAAGCGTCTGAATTTTGATCCCATGACCAGGGGGACACTGGCTACGGTTGTTAAGCGTGACAAAGGGTCCTAAGCTACCTTTTCTCAGTGCCCGTTGTAACTTTGAACGGTCACAAAACGAGCTGTTGTAAGTCAAGGACTACCTGTCCCATTCCAGACAAGGGGGTTGTCCGGTCTCTTCTTGAAAAACCTCCAGCGACAGATCTCCCACAACAAAAAAAGAGCCTGAGTGGCGTAGGAGGCTAATGCCTCCTACTAAGGCAGCATTTAACATCCAGCTGCCTGCAATTACTGCGAGTTCAATTCTCACCAGGCTCAAGGTTGACTCAGCCTTCCATCCTTTCTAAGGTGGGTAAAATGAGGACCCAGTTTGTGGGGGCAATAAGCTGACTTTGTATAAAATATACAAAAGTATGAAGGCTATTGCTTAACGCATTGTAAGCCGCCCTGAGTCTCCGGCTTACTATGTAAGTTTTCACGGGTATATATGTGTGTATAGTTAATATTTCGGGTTTCTTCCCATGTAATTGTGGATATATCCCTAAAAGGGTAGAAGCGACGTTTCGACAGAATCTCATCTGCCATCATCAGGCTTATGTTATAGATAGATAGATAGATAGAGATAGAGATAGAGATATATCGATATATCGATATATCGATATATCGATATATCGATATCTATATCTATAGATAGATAGATAGATAGATATAGATATAGATATAGATATAGATATAGATATATAAAGCCATTCACTTTGGAGTGTCCGATCTCCTCCTTGCCTAGATGGGGGTGGACACTCCCTGCCAAAAGATTCACACACACCAAAAAAAAAAAAAAAAACCTCTCAGACACCCTCAAACGTCCAGCCTGAATCTTAGATCTCGAAGGGCAGCATCCTTATTCCTTTCTGATTTTCACAAAGATTGTTTAATCCCCATCTTTTCTCCAAGGGGGGGGGGGGGCGTTATTGGTTAAACAAACCAACCAACAAAAAACAGGGGTGACTATCTTAGTTCTCGTCTTCTCAACACCCCAAGAGGGGAGGCCGAGACACAAACCGGCTCCTGAATTTTGGAAACCCAGGCAGTAGGGCACAGGGGCTTGGAAGCCCCACCTTCCCCTCCCCCCCCACCCAGAATGCGATCCAACATCTGTCGGATACTTACAATTTGAAATGGGTGGCATCTTGTGATCGGTGGAGGGGGGGGGGAACCATTCGCGCGTGGTGTGAGAATTAAACGGCAAGGGGTCACGGGACAGGGGTAGGAAAATGGGCCGCTTGGTGTGCAATTTGCACGCCCGCTCAATGCGTGACTGCAGGGCGAAGGCAACGACTGAACCCCTTTCGATAGGAAAGGGCCCGTTTCGATGCATTTGACACAAAAAAGCCATCCAGGCCAAGGTCAGTGCCTCCCCCCAAAAAGAGGAAGGGGTGTGTGTGTGTGGGGGGGTGCCCACCTATTCTCCAAAGCGCCAGAAGGCAGGACAAGAAGCAACGGATGGACGCTAATCAAGGAGAGAAGCAACCTGGAATTAAGGAGAAACTTCCTGACCGTGGGGACAATTCACCAGTGGAACAGCTTGCCACTAGACGTTGTGGGTGGTTGAATACTGGAGGTTTTTAAGAAGAGATTGGATAGCCACTTGTCTGAAATGGGAAACGGTCTCCTGCTTGAGAAGGGGGATGGACTAGAAGACCTCCAAGGTCCCTTCCAAGTATTCATCTATTCTAGATTCTGTTGTATATCCTATTCTGTTTCCTATCCTATCCTGTCTATCCTATTCTAGAGTATATTCTCTGTTCTGTTCTGTTTGATTCTATATTCTAGTCTAGTCCAGTCCAATCTATTCTCTATTCTAT